CGGGCAAAGGGGGAAAAAAGGGCGTTCTTGAAGAAGTGCGGTGTCACCCATGTTTGCGGGTCAATGTAACTGCGTTTTTTTCGGGTGTTGTGCTCGAGGTATTGTAGGCTATTGTGTGTGTTTTTGGTTTCTTTTCATTCGCTGCACAAAACAGCGTAGTAAGTCATAGGAAAGGAACAGAGTCCCACTCTCCAACCAACAACACACATACACAGACAGTAAAGCAGCAAAAGGTGACAAGATGCTTCGCCGCACATTTACCCGATTCACGTCTAAGCTCAGTAAGGCGTACCCTGTGATCGACCACACCTTTGACTGTGTGGTGGTTGGTGCCGGTGGTTCAGGGCTGCGCGCTGCAATGGGCGTCGCCGCTTCCGGTTACGACGTGGCGTGCATCTCCAAGCTGTACCCGTCGAGGTCCCACACCATCGCCGCGCAAGGTGGCATCAACGCGGCACTCGCCAACTGCGAGGAAGATGACTGGCGTTGGCACGTGTACGACACAGTAAAGGGAAGTGACTGGTTGGGCGACCAGGACGCAATTCAGTACATGTGCCAGGAGGCCCCCTGTGTTGTCTCAGAGTTGGAAAGCATGGGTCTTCCGTTCCTGCGCACAAAGGATGGCTTCATTTATCAGCGGGCATTCGGTGGTCAGTCAATTCACTATGGTGGAAAGCAGGCGCGACGGACGTGTGCTGCGTCGGATCGTACTGGGCATGCGATGCTGCACACACTCTATGGTCAGTCCTTCCAGTATGGAGTGAACTTCTTTAACGAGTACTACTGCCTAGATTTGATAGTGGAAGACGGGTGCTGCCGCGGGGTCATCGCTATGAGCATCGATGACGGCACCATCCACCGCTTTCGCTCCAAGTACACCGTCCTTGCCACTGGCGGCTACGGCCGCTGCTGGTTCACCACGACCAGTGCTAAGTCTTGCACCGGTGATGGAACAGCGATGGTGGCACGTGCTGGTCTTCCAGCGGAGGACATGGAGTTTGTGCAGTTTCACCCTACAGGCATCTACGGACCGGGTGTGCTGATCACGGAGGGTGCTCGTGGTGAAGGTGGCTACCTTGTGAACAGCGAGGGCGAGCGTTTCATGGAGCGGTATGCGCCCAAGGCGAAGGACTTGGCCTCTCGTGACGTGGTGTCACGTGCCATTACGCTGGAGGTCCTCGCGGGGCGTGGCTGCGGCCCGAAGAAGGACCACGTGCTCCTGCAGCTACATCACCTCCCGCCGGAACAGCTGCACGAGAAGCTGCCAGGTATCTCCGAGAGCGCCCACATTTTTGCCGGCGTGGACGTGACGAAGGAGTCGATCCCGATTGTACCGACGGTGCATTATTCCATGGGTGGCGTGCCGACGCTCTGGACGGGCGAGGTCGTCAGCCCTCGCAACGGCGACGACGACGCCATCGTCCCTGGGCTCCTCGCTGCAGGAGAGTGTGCGTGTGCGAGCGTGCATGGCGCGAACCGCCTCGGCGCAAACTCCCTCCTCGATATTGTCGTGTTCGGTAAGTCATGCGCGAACACCGTCATATTTAACCTCACGAAGGAGGGGCGGAAGCAGCCGGAGCTGCGGCCCGACGCCGGTGAGAGTTCGATCGCTGACCTTGACCGCATCCTGCACAACAAGGGCGACATCCCGGTTGCCCGCATCCGCGAGCGCATGAAGGAGACGATGGCGCTCTATGCCGCAGTGTTCCGTACTGAGGAGAGCATGCTGAAGGGGCAGGCCATCATCGAGGAGTGCTACCGTGACTACTCACACGTGCTCGTGCACGACAAGTCCCCGGTGTGGAATAGCAACCTCACCGAGGCCCTTGAGCTGCGCAACCTCCTCACCAACGCCCTGCTCACAATCACCGGTGCGGCAGTGCGGCGGGAGTCGCGCGGTGCACACGCGCGTGACGACTACCCCGATCGCAACGACCACGAGTGGATGAAGCACACGCTTTCGTACCTCGATGACAAGAACGGCAAGGCGCGCCTCGCGTACCGTCGTGTGCACAACGAGATGCTTACAAACGAGCTGGAGAGCATTCCCCCCGCGAAACGCGTTTACTAGGGACAAGGGGTGCAATGGCTCTGAGGGGTGGGAGATAACAGTGTTGATTGACCAATAGTAAAGCAAAAGAAAGGAGAGAGAAAGTGCGTGTGTGTGTGTGTGTGTGTGACGTTGTATGTATGTGTGTGTGTGTGTGTGTGTGTACGTGTCTTGTGTACTGGGAGAGTGAGAGTGTGTTTGGGCGAAAGAGGAAGGGCGTGTCAAGGTAAGTACACGGGGGGGAGGCGGGCGAGCAGCACATAGGGAAGCCAGGACAATGCGGCGTGTACGGCTCAGGGCATTGCGGGCATACACACTGAAGAGAAAAAGGAAAAAAGGAGAACTGTGAGGGGTGGGAAAGGAGATAGCGTGAGGGGAGTATTGGGTTTCATTTGATTTTGGGGAAGCGGACCAAACAGGAAAGAACCAGCAAAGAAGAAAAAAAAATGAGGACAAAAACAAATCAGCCTGGTTTTTTTGTTTTTATTATGTGGGTGTGTGTCACGGTTCTATTTCTGGGAGCGCACACATAGAGTCCAAAATGCGAGGAAGAAAACGACAAGAAACAGGACGTGTGACAAAAAAAAAATTCTGTAGTTTTTTTTTGCGTTTTCATACCCTCATTTCTCTTCCTCTTCCTCCCAATCTCCGGTGTCTGAGTCTGTGACGTGGCGGCGTCTGCATCTACGCAGGTGTGTTACTGCAGCAGCAGCACTCCGGTGCAGTTTGCTTCTTGCCTCGTGCCCTTCATGCCCCGCTTCAACTCTCTCTGTCGTGTGTTGCCTCCCGGTCACCTGCCAAGGTCTGAAATACAGTGACTCTTCGCTAACTAGGTCCACAACCCGCCATCTACACTACTGATTCAAAGAAACTACAACCAATAGAAGGAAGGAACCAGTGATGGTCAAGTCGATGCGGGTGAGTCTCATCCTTCCTCTCATCTGCGCTGTCGCTTCGTTCGCGTTGACACTGGCGGCGATTTTTTTACCCTTCTTTGTGGCGGTGCGGGATGAAGCGGCGGCGGCGGCCAGCAATGCCAACAGCATTGGCGGTCACAACGACAAGGCGGAGGCCACTTTGTGGGAGATGCGCACCTGGGGGCCACCGCAAGATGGCTCCGACAGCAAAGAGGTCATGCTCCTGCGCAATTCCTACTTCACCTGCAATGAAGGCAAGATACGCATCCAAGCAGCTGAGGGCGTTGCTATTGCGGCAGTTGTGGTGGCAGTTACCAACTTAATCATGAGCGGCTTCTACATCTATGCCAGCGCCGTGATACGCTTCCCGTTGGCCGTGTACTTCATGCTGGGCGCCGTGGCTTCCGCGACTGTGTTTGTCCTGATGCTGACTTGGTACTCCGCAGGCTGGTGTGAGGCGCAGCCGGGACTCAAGGAGGAGGTAGACATGAAGTGGGTGTTCGGTAGTGGGTGGATGCTTGCGGCTGCCTCCTGCGGCTGCTCGGTCATTGGCTGCATGGTCACATCTATCCCCTGGTGATGATGTGGAGGGATGAAAAAAACTATATGGACGGATGTGTGTGAAAGCACAGTGAGTGGCACATCAAATAGGAATTAACGTTGATTCCATGACCGTTTTGTTGCCTTCTATATGCGAACGGTACAATTCCATGAACATTTTGGTGGTCATTCCTCTCTGTATGTTTTTTTTTAGGTTTTTGTGTCGTACTCCGTTCTTATGCTCCCTAACTCCCGTTTTTTTTTTACGAACTTATTATTTTTTGCTGTTGTTTTGTTTTGAGGAGGGCTATTCACTTTTCTACATGTGTGTAGTGCCTGTGCAGCCCTCACCTGCTGTGCAGAGAGAATGAGGGGTGGGGGGGCGGTACCCCAAGTAGGCAGCAGCAGCGGCAGTCAAATGGGCTGGATGGAATAAAAGCATGCAAGAGACAGAGCAGCAAGAGATAATCGAAATGTGGTCAGGCAGAGTGTGCGCACCCACCAGCACAGTGGTGGTATTAATGGTAAGACAAACCAAAAAAAAAAAAGACAATGAAATAGAAACGGGAACATAGCACACCGATAGTAGTAAAGAGTAAAAGAGAAGGTGTTGCATGCTCGCGTGTTCTTATGAGTTATTTCTTCCTCTGTCAAATTGATGATGTCTATAATTCGCACTACCGTATCAGTATAGGGTAAAGAAGAATCTGATCGATGCGCTTCTTTGAGGAGTTACTTTCGGAGTCATTATCATTCTATGAGTGCATCGCCTTTTTTCATATGGTGTGTGTATAGGGAAAAAAAGAAAATGAGAAGAGGCATAGATGACTGAGTCGCTAGAGGCACGGATGTGGCAATATATATTGGTGAAAATAATATTGGTCAAAATAGAAGATGGTTAACTGAGACATGGAATAAATTCTTTCTTGTAGTCTGTTTGATTTTGTGTCTTTCCAATCGTATCAAGCCACTCGGTTGTTGCCTACTTCTCTTGCTGTTGATGGTTGTGTCAAGGAAGGGGACAAGCAAGAGTATGAGCCATGCATCCGCATTTACAATCAGGGAGGCGTTGAGGATCCATATGTTAAGGCTTCTCTGTCTGTGTTGATGTATTCTCTTTGTCAATGTTGCTCTGAGGGGAGTCTGGCTAATGCCGATGAAATCAGAAGAAAAGAGCTTGGTCTTAAAATGCCGATACATCAGCAACTGCCTGAGAGATGTCGACTGTTTAAAAGAGCACATTAGTGGCATGCCTCTGTGTCGATATGTTGGTTCAGCACGCTGATCCTCATCACTGGGCGTTGAGGTAGGCTGGTGTGTAAGCATCCTCGTTCATATGGAGGGTGATGTGCCATCGTGGCGCAGACGCCCTTCTTCATAGTTGTGGTGTTCGGTGTCAAGGTGGTTCGTTACTCACAACTGCACCACATGCACCGATATCATTAACTCCCGCAGCTCCACATCTTGGTGGATCGGCCGCACCAAGGCTCTCCAATAATCTGCACTCGTCTGGAGCCTCAGTCTATATTTTTTTTTTCTGCAGTGGATGATATTCATGCACATGACCGTCACACTCTGCTTGTGTAGATCATCCCTTGCTTCGTTTGCACTCTCTGCCAGTGGGTTGCGTGAAGTGCTGCTTGTTTGTGGGTAAATTAAAGGGAAAAAACATCCCTTATGACTGTCCGCTGTTGCCCACGTGTACAGACACACGCTCTCTCTCTCTGTCTCTTTATGTTCACTCGATAGATACTCCCCCAGGTGAATAATAGGAAGTGAGAAAAGGACTAGCGATGCTATGAGACGAAGGGGGCATCGCTGTTTTATCCTTCTCCTTATTGCCATGTCGCTTTCGAGTGTGATCCTATTCGTGGAGTTCGAAGACGCTAACCAGCTGCAACCAAAGGCCGCTGTGGCGCACTCATCGTCCGCGTTGAGGGTGCGTTTCGTGGTGGCGCAGACACGGCGGTCTCCGGGATGGTGTAAAATGGTGGCAAGTGCCATTCTCTCCAATGTGTCAGTGGCCACTGTTGGTTATGGGAAAAAGTATTCACACATGCGACGTCTGTTTTGGGTCATGGAGTACATTGAAGAAGAGGGACTTCAGGACAGGGATATTATCGTGTCGTACGATGGTTCAGACACGCTTCTCACTGGCGCCCTCACAGTGCAGCGGGCTCTGAAGAAGTTCATTGCCACGACAGCGCCTACTGTCGATGCTTTTGATGCGGAAGCTGTGCGACGCGGTGATGCGACAGCTCCGCTGTTGTTCACAGCAGAGGGAAATTGCTATCACCCGCAACTGTCCGAAAATGTTAAATGGGGAGTCTCCAAGGGCAGATGCATCTCCTTGTACAAGCGAGCTGAAATGAATGCACTGGGTCAGAAGGGTGCCGAAGCTGGGGGAAGGCGGAAAAGATTACATTTTCTCAATGCTGGCGGCTATGTGGCTCGTGTATGGGCCCTGAAGCGAGCGTTCACCGCATATCGTAGTCTGATGGGTCTTAAGCGGTGGTGGTGTGACCAGAGCGCTTGGGGGATGTTGTATTTGTGGAGCATCACACAGAACTCGTCTTCGGCAAATGAGGCACGTATTCCGTATGGTATTGTAAGTCTAGATTTTCAGAATACATTCTTTTTGTCTGTGCATGGTATGCGCCTTGGAAAGGACATAATGTTGTGGAGCTCCACTTCTGTTGCGGAAATTGTGGAAGGTGGCAGGTTGCCATTTCCTCTTTTCTTTAACATTGACGGCATACCCGATGCCACTCCTGCCATCCTGCACATGAATGGTGTGGGGCGGAAGGATCGGGTTGTTTTGGAGGAGAATCTGCGGGGCCACACCTCCTGGTTTGTGGAGGCAAATCGCACACCTGAGGCGCTACATGCTGCCAAGGATCTGCTGCAAAATGGCGCTCTTCTCGATCTGCATGGAGTCAGCGGTGAGACCAAACGTATCCCTTTTGGAGACGTGTGTCGTGGTATTGATCTTATTTAGTTCCTATTGGTGTTTTTTTGGGGGGGTTCTTGTTGTTGTTGTTGTTTACATGATGACCACTATGGGCGCATTTTAATTGGGTATCCATATATATATATATATATATATACATATACGTGTGTATGTGTGTGTCGGTCTTTTTTTTTTCGTCTCTGCGTGTGTGTGTGTGTGTGTGAGGGAAGACGCGCATGTGTGCGGCGTGTTCTGTGGCCTTTTTTGGACGTTGGGTTGTTATTGTTCTGGCGGCGATAGTGGATTTCGAAAACGTGTATGTTTTCCTTTGTTTGTTTGTTTTTCTTTTTTGTTTGGGTTCTGGACTCGTTGATGACGCAAAGCAACGAAGGGTGTAAGGCATGTCTCTTGATGTTTATCAAGCGTTCTCCCGTAAGTCCGTCTTCTTGACGGGGGGAAGTGGCTTCATGGGAAAGGTACTCATCTTCAAACTGCTCAAGGAATTTCCTGACATAGAGGCTATTTACGTCCTCATCCGCGGGAAGAAATCACGCAGGTTGAAGCGGTATCTGAATCCGCAAGAACGTATCGAAAAGGAGGTATTGGGCTCACCTTGCTTCGATCCTCTCCGGACAGCCATGGGCGACGATAAATTCAAGGCATTTGCTTCTCGTGTGGTGATTGGGGTAGAGGGAAATATAACGGATGATCGTCTTGGGCTAAGCGACAAGGATTTTAAGACAATCCAACAATCTGTGAATTTTATTGTGCATATGGCTGCTACAGTGAACTTTGATGAACGACTCAACGTGGCAGTTGAAACCAACACCCTGGGCTCCCTGCGTGTTCTTGCGATAGCAAGAGAATGCAAGAAATTGGAGGCCATGGTACACGTCTCCACATGCTACGTTAACTACAATATTCAGGGGAGCACCGTGGAGGAATGTCTTTACCCACTTCCATTTGACCCAGAAGCTATGTGCAAACACATCCTCGCATTGCATGATGCTGAAATAGATACGGTTGCTCCAAGTTTACTCCAAAAATACGGATTTCCGAATACATATACCTTTACGAAATCTATGGGAGAGCAACTGCTCCGCGCATGCAAAGGTAATTGCCCTCTGGCTATTGTCCGTCCCTCTATAGTGGGGTGTAGCTTGAAGGAACCGTTTCCAGGATGGGTTGATGCACTTACAGCGGCTGGGGGTTTGATTCTGACGACTGGTTTAGGTGTGGTGAAGGAGGTTTTGGCTTCCCCAGAGGCCGTTTCAGATATTGTTCCGGTGGATTTTGTTGTTAACACTATCATAAAGGCCCTTTTCAAGACTCAGTATTACTACAAGAGTCAACAAGTTGAAATTACGGCGACTGAAGGGTCTAAAGAGAGTCATGTCGGTGGAAAGCTACTCAATGCCCTTGCAGCACCAGAAGCTGTAAAAAAAAATGGAAATGGTGGGATGGAGGGTAGGGTGTCTCGTTTGACCGCGGCTGCCATTCAGCAACAAGAAGAACAGTATACTGCTTCTCCTGTGTCGTTTTTTGCTCGCTCTGAACCGTCGGAGACCGGTGTTCCATTTGTCTACCAAGCAGCAACTTCATCTTCTGTAAATAGCCTCACATGGGGACGCATCCGCCATGCCACACGGTACTATTGGGGTTCAAAGGTTCGACATCCAAAGGCGATTGGGCCTATGTCAGCGGACATAGTTCCGTCTGTTACTGAGTTTCGTCTGCGGTTTTTCTTTTTGCGAGAATTGCCCCTTCATGTGCTCCGTTTTGTGGCTTCCCTTCCTCCGCCTATAGGATCTGAGGAGAGGAAAGTATTGGTTCAGAAACTTTCCAAGGCCGTTTTTCGCGCCAAGGATCTCAATCGCCAATTCAGCGCCTTTACGTTGCATGAATGGGTCTTTGCTGCGACAAATACAAAGTCGTTGGATGAGGGCCTCAATGAACGATCTCGCACGGCATTTTACTTTGACACGTACATGATCAATTGGTGGCACTACGCCCAGTTGTATTGTCACGGTATGCTGAAGCACATCATCAAGGACACAGGATCTTATGCATTCCCAGACCAGCCACCCAGCCCCGTCGATGTCTTCAAGAGGGCTTCGTCGCTTTGAACAAGGCCTTCCGGCTCTTGTTTCAATTTTTTTTTCTCTTAAGGGGAGTCATTGAAATGAATTGGCAAATTTCGTGTTGGTAAATATTAATATTGATCACTTCATGTTTATCACTGAAAAAAAAAAAACGTCGAATAGGGTAAGTTTTTAGACCCCGCCCGAAACATCCTATCCCTTACCGCCTCGCACGCAGGAGCGGGCGTGTTAAAGACGTTTTCTGTTCTTCCTTTTCTTCAGTCTCCAGAACGAATTCATAGATGAGGAGTCGTTTTTTGTATTATTGAATTTGGCGCGACGTGCGGTCAAGGCAAAAATGGGGAAAGTAACATGTGTTTCGTCTTTCTTTTCTTTTCTTTGGGGGAAGGCAAGGTCCATGGTATCCGCTATTTGGGTCCTTCCCTCCCTCCCTTTGGGGGGTGAGGGAGGGAATAAGGGAAAGGGGAAAGAAAATGGGCAGTTGAGGTCCTGCGAAGCTTCCCCATTTTTGCGGCATACGCATTAGCGGCAGTGGCGATGGTAAAGGGGGGACGCTGTGGTCTAAGCGTTTTTTTCACCCATTGTGTTGGAGAAGAATTTCATCCGGTGTTTCCAACAAACCCCATTTGGAGGGGAAGGGGTGCTACTGACAAAACGGAAGCGCTGAAATGTTCTTTTTAAACTCGGCCATCACGCGTCTAGGCGTAAGCAACTACCCCCTTCGCAATGACTATGCCGTTTAATGCCATGATCTGTATAAATCCCATCCTATGGGTTATTTTCTGAAGCGGGGCATGTCCCCATGCGGCTTAAATTCTGCGCGCTCTCAAAACTTTATCGATGGTCGCTGCCTCGTTGTTCCATTGGCCTCGACCCAATGGTCGAAGTAACAAACCAGGCCTTAGGGGAATTCCAGTGGATCCATGCGCCTCCTCCAACTGCATTCGGAAGGCGGAGGCCAAGAAAGGCACTCAACAAACGACTGCTGCCGCGTGGGTCGAGGCCTCTCTTCTTATGGGGCACGGGGTTATGCCGCACGGCCGAAGGAT